AACTGAACTGATGTTCACAAGACCTGATACGTACTAGCATTGGCGAAATAAAAAAATACAATAACTGGTGTAAGATGTCAATATATTTTTTTGGTCGTGGTTGCTACCCATTTATTAGCCCCTGGTCCCTCATTTTCGGCACCAGAAAAGAACAGATGGTGACCAAGACAAGGATGCATGGCATACGAAGGTGAATACATTAAGAAAAAGTTGCGCAATCAGGGGGACGGGCATCACTTTGAGTTGTAATCAATTTTTTGACTACTCTATGGAATTGTGCATATGCTACTGATTTATTCCTTTCTGTTCCTTCTCGTAGCGTCACAACCCTTGGTGGGTCTTAGCTGCATCTACGACTCGTCTTCATCTATCCCCGTCAACGCAACCTTCTTGCAGTCCCATAGTCCCAAAATTTTTACATCTCCTCCGATATTGTTCTTTCATCTGAGCCTTGGTCTAAAGGTCTCGTTGCCACTTGGTATCACTTCCATATCCTCTTGATAAGACGTTCATTCGGCGATCTCTGTACGTGTCCGGCCCATCTGAGTCTTTGTGCTTTCGTTTACTAAACTCGGTCTTTTCTACTTGGTTCTTGAGCTCATTCGTTCTTATTCGATGCCGAACAGCCCATGCAAGGCGAAAATACATTTATTGCCCTTTTGACTTCTTGCTTTTATTTTGCTGCTGATATCGTTATCCGAGGTTATAACTGCTCCCAGGTACTGAAATTGGTTTACGAATCGAATTCGAAATTGTAGGTGTCCATGGTTACGTTTCGTCCCATTCTGTATCTTCTTGCTCTGCGTCTGGTATGCATATGGTCTTGTCCTCGTGAATAGTGAGTCCTACCTTCTTGGTCTCTTTCTCTGTTCATGAACATTTTTTTTTGTTTTAATCGTACTGCTTCCTACAGTATGAAAGTCGTCGGGATATGCCAAGGTCATTTCTGGACCCTTATTTGTAAATTTTTTTAGAGTAATATTCGTCTCTTTGATATCTATATTAAATAGCAAGGCATTGTTGATGGGAAATGTTTCAGCGGTGTTCCCTCCTATCCTGAGAGTTTTCTACGCATATCTTGGTTAACTTAATGATTTCTTTTGTACCCTTATGCCTTCCAACGCTTGCCAGAGACTTTCCCTGGTGATGCTATCCTATGCCTGGCGGAAATCTACAAACAGTTGGTGGACCTCTCTGTTCAACTCCCAGCTTTTCTGTAGGAGCTGTCGAATGGTCAATTTAATTGATTGATCTGTTGCGGAGCTCTTGGATCGGAATCCGCACTGGTAGTCATCTAAGTTGTCTTCTGCACGTTGTATGTTATGTTCAGCAGGGTTTTTTCCCTATAGTTTTTACAAGCCCTTCGGTCTCCTTTCTTATGGATGGGGATGATGACAATCTCATTTCACTCCTTTGGTAGTGTTTCAGTTTTCCATATGTTTTTCAGTAGCTCTAGTATGGCAATATATAGATGTTCTCCTCCATATTTTATGCGCTCCTTCGTGATGGAGTTCTCACCCGGGGCCTTGTTATTCTTTAATTGGTTTATTGCCCTTTTAATCTCCTAGGGTGGGTTCTAGTACATACTCCTCCGCTCTTATGGTATACCTTCCTACTTCTTGCATTACCTCTTTTATGTCAGTTATGTGCTGTATCATAAATGCTATTTTTAACGGCCACACGTTATGGCATCTTAACAGTTCAGGATAACATTTTCGATAACGCAGCAACACAACCGAGGTGTGCTCTATCTCCGAGTTAACGTATGCGTTTCCGACCCAGTTATCCATCAAACGTTAAAATGGAAAAAAATATTGGATGCATAAAGTGAGATTCCCTTATACGAATAGTCTATTAGTTAGAGAGAGAGAGTGTTAACATCAAACCATCGAAGGTTCTAAAACATATGCACCACCGCCACATGTGCACGTGTTGACTATTTGGGCCACCTACTTCCATACTTGTCTTTGCCTATGATTTGCATTCACTTTCAATTTCGTTCGTTATTGTTCTTGACCTATCATCTCAAACACTTTCAATGGAGCACGTACAGAAGAGGCAAAAAAACAACCCACGAACAATTTGAAAATTTAGTAGATTTTGTGGAGGAAAATAAAGTTTATTTTCAAGACCATTTTTCAATTGTTCTAATAAAGCTAACCTTATAAGACCACCGAAAGGCATATTTTTCTTTTAAATTAAAAACAAATTATAGCTAAAAGACAAAACTACGCTCTGATTAAACACAATTGTTTTATTTATTCCCCGAAGTTAACTTCGAGGGATGCACGTTAAGTTCGAAAGCGGCATGTGATTTGATGCTGTTATTCTGAAGCGCTATTTCTTCATATAACGTTCGTCGATAGCGTGAGCCTGTTATAATATAAAGGTTTTACTGATACAACATACCAGTTGGAGCCACATAACGTGTTTGACGGATAACATGCACGTTAAAGTTAACGTGAGTGATACAGCACAGGGCTGATTGTTTGCAACTTTTTCAGATGTTGGTCTTTGGTATGGAATTATCCTTTTATATTTTTTACTTGTTTGAAAACGTTTCGGCTGTTTGTTGATCCTGCCTCCCTTTCTGAAATCCAGGTTTTAAGCGTGTCTTTTTTCCTTCTTATCTTTTGTCTCAGCTCTGAGGACGTTGAATCTTTGGATGTTCCTATCACTTGCACACTGCAGAATTTGTATTATGAGTTTGTTTTTGGTGTCTAGGGCTGTTTTTATTCTTCCTTATACACGCGTTTTCTTCTTCTGTTGGTTGTGTGTTCACCTAGGACTATTTCTGCAGCGTTAATTAATGTTGTTCTGATCTGTTTCCAGTGGTCCTCTACATCCGCCGCCTCTTGTGTGACATTTTTTTCTAGTTGTGTTTCTTCTTCCGTTTGGTATTAGTGTTTGCATGTTTCATCCTGGTTTAGTTAGTCTGCATTCCACCTTTTTGGTGATGATATTTCTTTTCTTGTTAGGGTTCGTTTGATCCTTGATCGTACCTTAACCCGTACCAAAAAGTGATCCGTTCCTGAATCCGGCCCTCTTTGGCTCTTTACATCTATTATGTTTTTAATGTGTCTCGTGTTTTCCCATCCTTGGACATCCATGCCTCTTTGTGAATTTTTTTGTGCGGGAACATTGTCGAGGTTATTGGTAGCTGCTACGTTGACCAATCGTTGGCCGTTGTCGTTTGATTGCTCATGGAGACTGTCACTTGCAATATGTGCTCCAAACGCTTCTTCTCTTCCAACCTTGGCGTTAATGTGTCCTTAGTGTAAACCCCGTTCCAAATGTTTGTTTCCCATTTCCTGTTCCGCCATTGAATATGGTGTACTTTCCCATGGTTTGAGTGCCTTCATCCGACCACCTTTGTCCTGGAGGGCGATCATATCCATGTTATAGGTCTTCATTTGTTGTATAGTTCTTTTGGCTATATTGTATTATATTATTTGGCTGTATTATACACTTGATCGAAACAAGCTCAGTTCCAAGATTCCCTGTTTCGTTACTTTTGCCTCTACTCTTTTGATCCGTCCCGTTCCGAGGCTCGCCGTTCTGCTTCGTACCTTTGGGTTTTTTACAGGGTAGGGTTGTAGGCCCTACGCTCAGCCCTCCGGGTTTATCCAGGCTTGGAACCCGCAACTACTACTATTACTACTGATTGCCAATAAAAATTTAAAAATTAAAATACGAGGGAACTGACAATAAAATCTCTTACAAAAGCAATAGAAATAAATTATTAGACATGTCAAAGTGAGATTTTACTTGATCGTTATTCCTAACGTATGTATTTATTTCATGGAATTACACAAAGCTGCTCCTCAGAGTTTCAGATAGGACACAAAAACATGAGACAAATAGGTTTCAGAGCATTTTACTCACACTGTATAAAAGTTGTTCTACCTCATGACCTGTAAAGATTTCAAATGTTGCGGAAATTATAAACGTTTCATCAAGTTTGCATCTAGATGAACTGACTTTGCTAATGATCAAGCTCGAATTCTTTGAAAAAATTAAATTGCAGGAAAATTAAAAAATAAAATTGTACGAATTTGTCACATTTTCTGTTGACCTTACAATTTACAATGTAAATATAATAGTCGTGTTTTTAACTGAATAGGAGTATTTAACTGAAAATATACTTTCGTTTCAGTGTTGAGGCCAATTTTAATAGAAGACTACAAATATGAGGAGTCTCCAGAAAGTCTACAACATTTAATGACTTTCTTTGAATCCAGCTACAAATCTCAATCAAAAGTCGATATTTTGGTTGGAATAATTTTTCTTTTAATGGCGGAATATGGCTTCATACCAAGTAACTATACTTCCTCTGAAACTTCATTCGACTTTCATTATAAGCGAATGATGGCACTAAGTAAGAATTTGCCACTTGAAGGACCACGTGGAACCGGCCATTATTGTATAAAGATGATACTGCCCAACCTAGAACAGTTTGGAGTAAAACTAGTAATGGTGTGTGTTTCTGATGATTTAATTGTAAACTGTTTTGTTAAAGGAGTAGAGCCAGGGCATTTTAACGTCCTTCTGGACCCATTAACATATTTTACTTCTTCAAATGTCAACTTAAAACAAGTAAAATTTCAACATCTGGATCATTTGTCCAGGCTGATTAAGAGCAACATAGCCTTTCCAACCAAGTTCTACATTCTTAAACAAAATAGGATAGCTTTGCCATGCCTTGAGGATTTGCCACCTGAAGTTATTTTGATAATTATGAGAAACCTTCCGTTGGAAGATTTGTGTCAGTTTGGTAAAACCAACACAAAGTTTGGTGATTTTTTTCGAGACTTGTTTAATAAGTTTGGAAAGAAGATGCAATTATTCTAAAGTAGTATGTAGTCATTGTTTTAACTTAAGGTTGTTCACATGAGTTTAGTTCGATAATGGAGATAAATAAACTGATTAATCCAGAATACTTGATTTTTAATACCAATATCGTTTTTCGACTTTGGATATTATTATTACATTTTTTTCAGATAATGTTACAGCAGCAGACACAACCCTGATACCGGAGGCTACTAGCACAGGTACTACCGGCGTGGTGCTGGATGAAAAGTACTCAAATGGAGATATTGGTGAGTGAAGAGTTTCGGAATATTTAAGTTATTTTCCTTACTCCATAACGTAATCATGTTATATCGAGCATTAAAAGAAAATGAGTGACGGTGCACCCTAAATTTTTGTCCTCTTATTTTTCATCCTGCCCATCCCTGGCGCAGCCAGTGTGCGCTAGACCGCCGTCTGGATTGTGGATAAATTTCGGCAAATATAACCTCACCTGAAAACATATTTACCTATTTATCCAGGCTGTAAGAACATTTTTCTAATTTATTGTTGTGTCTTCACCTCCATTTGAACAACATCTACAACTGGGCATTTTATATTTGCAAGAATTGCCATTTTATTTATTAAACATTAGTGGTGCTTTCCTTTCCGTTTAGTTTTAATAACGCTTCGTCCATTTCATGTTTCTTGAACAAATATCTTTTCCTAAAATCGGTAATTTTGTTTCTATAAGCAATTTCTGAACCACCTTTTTAGGGTAGGTATTAAATAATTTTTCGAAGACCAATTTTTCTAATATCAATCAGAATATGAATTGCTACGCTAAGTAATAATAGCTTCTAAACTGGATCGAAATTACTGGATGCTTACCCATAGCCATAGTGACAGTGAATTTTCCAGATTTAGACAAGGTAAGATTCAGTTTAGTGTTAGTTAGTTATACTTGTTGTCTAATTACATATAGCGTTATTCAAATGTACAGCACAAAATTAATTGTTTTTTATGCACGTTTTTTTCTAAAAATCACCTTTTAGAGATAACATTTGTTCTTTAGTCGCGATCTCTTGATCTCCAGCTGTGCCAAGTTTTTTTTCCTCAAGGCACCTCATATGATAAGAAAGCTCTATGAAAAGATCTTCAAAACCTATATTTGGTTGGAGAAAGAAAACTAAATCTGCTCATTTTGTTCCGATAAAACCCACGTAATTAGCTTTTTCCAAACAAGCAAACAATATTACAATTATTGATTTATAACACTAGATGTGAATAACGTGTGATGAAGGTTTTCATACCTTGGCATTCGACGAAACATTTTATCGTCACGTATCTTAATCAAACTCTTACTCAATAATCACGTTGCTCTTAAAGAAACAAACAAATCTTTTTCATGTGGATCTACTATAATTACTCTTCCCCCATTCTTTACGCACTTAGCTGTTGGCACTCATCTTGTGTTAGTTCTTCTAAGAGTTCTGATGTGTAATGTGTACGCACATTTAGCAATTTGTCGTAATCATTTTTTCAGGTCTCTAGCTAGTACTTCTTTTGTCTGTTGTTGCTATGTTGCCATTGTTCTTTATAATTGTTCCAACTTTGGTTCTAAAACTTCTCTTGATTCTTTTTATGCCTAAAAAAAACGTTTGGTCCTGTTATTCACCCTGTTTTGTTTTATCTTTGATGATCCTATTTTATTGTGCTCTTTTCTTTTTCTATATTGCTGCTCTTGTTCTCGCTCTAGCTTCCCTATATTTCTGCATATTTTGTTCTGTTGGACTGCAGCTCTGTCTTACATATTTGATTAAACCAGTCTCTCTTTTTATTTTTAGTTCTTTGTCCGAGTCTGTCTTGTCTTGCGGTTTGGGTGCTTTGATGTGTGGTTTTTGGGTTCCATATCTCGTTCACATTTTCTAGAGCTGTCTGGTATTCGTTTACCTATTCGACGTCTTTGAAAGCTTCTGTATTAAACCTTAGACTCGGTATTTTTTTTCATATAATAAAGGTTTGCTTTTCTATATTTTTCTTTCTCGGTTAGAAACTGCGGTTCCTTTTCAGCCCCTTGCCAAACCTGTAACTCTCATATTTTCAGTTTCCTCCAGAGATGATTTATTTTTAGGAATTTAACAAGCCTGCAATGATATGTCGATAATGTATTGAAGTGACTGGACTGCATTTCGAACAATTTTAATTTTTGTTGTAATAAATGTATTATAGATTAAATTTGAGATTTTATTGTGTTAGAGTAGCTTCATTTTCACTCAAATGAAGTTTTTTTTTTGAGTCAAAAATTAAACTCTAATATAGCTTCTTCACAAAGAATTAAGAGCTGCATACACTATTCGTTCTCTGTAAAACAATAGTTGTTTTGTTCCTATTTCAGAATGTTTTTAGGACTTTTAGTTGCAAGTGATGATGTTATTTGTTATCCTTAAAATAATTTGTTCTTTAAGTACAAGATATTATTTGTTGTATATCTAAATATGATTTACACTCGATTTAAAATTGTTTCTGCAAGTGACACATAATTCACCATCACCTTATGACCCTGCTATATCACGAAAACCACAAGTGAAATCACATTCACAAGTTAAATTCAAGGTTTAAAAGATCACATTCACCGTTATATCAGTGATTTTAAAATCACGCTTTAACTCATTTCTAATACTTACTTTTTTGGACTAAATGGACTTCTGTAAAATGGATTTGCGCGGCTTTCTTCAAATTAGCGTCGTTTCGTCTTTACGTCTTGTGTTCTTATCCCCCCGTTGCTATGGTAACTTATGACGGGGAGTGGATACATATTAAACTGTGGACTGAAATTAACTTTTTTTATTATTATTAAAACCTAGAAATATTTACATACAAATTTTTAAATAAAAGTTCATTTGTTTTTAATTCGTCTTGAAGAAGAATATACAAGGGTGGTTTGAACCATAGAACATTACCCAGTTCTGACCCGGTGGGATAGCGACCTGAGCGTTTAGTATACGAATCTTAAATTGAAATTATGCGCTTAAACTGAAAAGTAGTTGAGTTTTCTCTTCCCGTAGTTTGGTTTCTATTTTGTTATTAAAGATTTATTAATTGATGTTTGTTTAGCTGAGTATGGCCGGAATTTGTCAACGTAAGAGCGCAGGAATTGAAAATAGTAGGTTTGGCCATAGTAATAAAAGCATGGAAAATACTTCCTTAATTATAAATTAAAATTGCTTACGATAAGCAAGTTTTAAGGGAACATAAATATAGGATTGTAGAAAAAAATAAAGTAAAATAGTTTCCGGGGTAAGGTAAAATGTCAAGTTTAGTTTAGCGGATATTTATTAGGAATTTACATTATTATATTTTCATTACTATAATTTGCCTTTCTATTCCTATTCTATATCTTCTTAGTAGTAAAGTAGAGTCAAGCAAAAAGGATCTATTAAAAACTTACCATTAAATGAAAGAATGTGAGAAGCACTTAAAGCTGTAATGATAAAGCACACCTGAAACTAATTATGGAAAATATGAATTAAATAATAGTTAGGTTGGGATACCGAACACGGTTGCAAATCAATTATTACCGAACACATCCTTTACGTACACCAGACTCGAGAATACAATGTAAATGGCAACGTTGAGAAGAGTGAAGGTGCGTGAGATTCCTAGTGCTGTAGGCATCTCGAATGAACGGGTACATAATATTTTGCATCAACATTTGAGCATGGCAAGTGTCCGTTTCTGTGAGCTTGTGGTTTGGACGAACAACACGGATTCAGATCGGGAAGATCTTGCACAGACGCCCCGTTCGAATCAAGACAAATAGTCGAGAAATCGATTGAATACAACAAGCCAGTGTTTATATGTTTTGTCCATCTAACTAGAGCATTTGACGGTGTCCAGCTGAAAGGCGTCCTGTAGCTCCTTTACAACAGGCAAATCCCACACAATTTTATTAAAATCATAGAGACCATATATACAAGCAATAAAATACAAGCACAAATAGAAGGAGACCAAAGTCCATCACAGAATCAATACCCGCAGGTAGCGGTATTCTGTTCGAAGTGTTCGAGGGCTAAAGGGATACAAAATGGGGGATGCAGAAATCAAAATAGTGTGTTACGCTGACGATGCCGCTCTCATTGCAGAAAGTGAAGATGACTTACAAAGGTTATTACACGTACTCAACCTGACAGCCAAGTCTCTAAATATGGAAATATCACCTACCAAAACAAATTGCTTAACAACATCAAAAACCCCTCTAAGATACAAACTGGACCTTGACGGTAAAGTAATCGAGCAAAAAATGAAATTTAACTACCTTGGCGTGGAACTTTCCGGCTTTGGGGATATTGAGGCCGAGGTGAGAGATCAAACAACAAAATCAATTAGAGTATCTGGCTGCCTGAATACAATATGGTGCAATAAGAGTATGGAAACGGACACTAAATCGAGGATCTACAAAACCGTCGTGAGGCCTGTGATGACATATACTGC